CGTAAATTTATTTTACTGATTTACTCAGGAACTACAAAACCGAATGCTTCGAAATCTTGAAGATATTTTAAAATTATCATAAGCATGGTAAATTTTTGATCAAAACGTATTTGGTCGTCCCCCCTAAAAAATTTATGACGTCACCACAAAATTTTGCTGAATAAATCCTATCTAAAATGTACAAAATATGGTGAGTCTCTTCTTGTAATTTGTCATTCCATTCAAATTTTTTCGATTTGCATATACAGGGTGACTCAAAAAAATTAATGAATGCGTAAATTTATTTTATTGATTTAATCAGGAACTACAAAACCGAATGCTTTGAAATCTTGCAGATGTTTTAAGGTTATAAAGAGCATAATAAATTTTTAGTCAAAATATATTTGGTTATCTTCTACAAAAAACTGATGACGTCAGCTCAAAAGTTTGCCGAATAAATCGTATCTAAAATGTACAAAATATGATGAGTCTGTACTTGTGATTTATCATTCCATTCATATTTTTGGATTTGCATATGCAGGGTGACTCAAAAAAATTAATGAAGGCGTGAATTTATTTTATCGATTTAATCAGGAATTACAAAACCGAATGCTTTGAAATCTTGGGAATATTCTAAAGTTATTATAAGCATGGTAAACTTTTGTTCAAAATGTATTTGTTCATCCCTCCTAAAAAAATTGATGACGTCACCCTTAAATTTTGCTGAATAAATCCTATCTAAAATGCAAAAAATATGATGAGTTTGTACTTGTGATTTATCATTCCATTCATATTTTTTAGATTTTCTTAAGAGGTGGTTCAAAAAAATTAATGAAGTCAATTTATTTTATTGATTAAATTAAAGGCAACACTTATTATTAGTATTACACCCCAACCAACCCAATTTGGTAGACAAAAAATTTGTTAAAGGAAAAACTCGGTTGAAACATAAGGGTAGCATGCTTATTTACATCGACTGTAACATTACAGACCTGCATTTGTTTTATGCGTTCACTTGGTTCCGCGAATGTGAAATAGACATGTTTATAATCAACCAATTGTGAATTTCACCGTCAAGAATTAAAATAAAACCCAATGTTTTATATAATAAGCGGAAGTCGAAGCAATAAAACCGATGGTCGTTTTGTTTACAGTTTCTCTGTTTGACTCTCAAGTATGCTGTTACGCCTGTCATCTTAAATTAAGAATGTTTATACATACATGATTTTCAGCTGCCTGGGATACGTATACGTGAGTAAATTGTTTCGTTATTTTATTGATTATTACAAATCAATATTCAAAACGACCCAATTCATTTTCCTGAAAATTTGAGAATATAATAATTTTATTCTTAGTATTACACTACATCTATCCCAAACTGATATACGTGTCCTTGCAAAAATGTTGATGACGTCATCGCAATTTTTTTTTAAATTGCCACTACAAAAATGTAATGAGAAAAAACACAATAGGCATGCAGTCGTCAAGTTTCCGACAGCGAGGGAAGTACTGTCTAAACTCTTTAGACCAATTTTTTTAAGATATGCCATCAAAGAATACATATAGGTACCTAACCCTAAATTTTCACCCATCTACCACCAATTCCCATTTTTTAATAACGATATGAGTATCTTTGCTTTCATCCACAGATGCGCAATAGGGTTGCAAAATGGCTATTGAATATAATCATTGTCGTACGATAAATTTTTATGTATAATTTATAATTAATTTAAATTAAATTTATTTATATGTATTTATTTTAATTTCATTTTTTATTTAACTACCAAAATATTCACTAGAAATGCCATAACAACGTTTGCCGGGTCGCCTATTTCTAATATGTATAATTGTATATATTTTAATTATATGTATTCAGGTAATTATTGTATTTTGTTTTTTTAATTCAATGTTCCAAGTAGAATGATTTTAATAAAACGTAAGCCCTAATTCCAATCTACTCATACTTTACTCATTATACTCGTATTTTTAAACATTTTTATATCGCTGTTCATTAGGGGCCCCACAGTGTTGTAGAACACAGGCCCGCTGTTTGATTGTTACGCCACTGCTACGGTCGTCTGAATCCCTAGAATGTTGGTTTCTAGGTCCGTGCCCCCTGAAAGTATCTTCGTAGATGTCTTCTCGTGAGTAGTCATCACGTTTCCGCGGATAAGGATTTGCTCTCACAGGCGTTCGTGCTGTTGTGTTGGTTGCTTCTGGACCATATTCGTTTTCACACGACTTGTTCCAGCCTTGTTGCATGCCACTTACATCATAGTAGCTTTCGCTATATTCCCTGTTTTCGTTTTGTTCTTCTGCGATGTTCTTGTTCAAGTCGATTTCTTGCGAAACAAGGCAGCCGAAATTTTCCTGGTGTTCTTTGCGTCTACTATTGCTCGATTTTTGGAACGAAGTTCCTTACGGCAGGCTTGGAGGAGATAGGAATTTTGCTGCACGACCGAACTGAAATAAATGTGATCCTAAAACCGTAACGAAAACTCCGTGGAAAAATGGCCGCCTGACAAGTGTAGGTAAGCAGAGAAAAAATGTTGTGCCTCGGTGGGATTCGAACCCACGTTTCCTTGCTCTCCGGGCAGGTATGCTGACCACTGCACCACGAAACGACTTATTTATACTCTGCTTACCGACGTGTTATTGTGCCGCCACACAAGATTGAAGGTCCGCACACGTGCAGCTGCCTTACAAAGACACCGCCAACACGTGGAGACCGCACCGACAAAATATAAAAAATGTCCTAAACACTTTTCGTTCTCTCATCCCTTCTCTCTCTATTACCACTCCACCCCGCCAATGCATAGTATATACTCATGAATTCATGGACAAACACGTGGCGAATACGCACATTATAGATACATTTTACTCGTGAGTAGCCACGTTTATTTTCATACAATTTCAAATCGTCAAAACAATAATATAGTAACAATGGCAAAGCAGAGTATCAAAAATTGGTCTAAAGAGTTTAGACAGTACTTCCCTCGCTGTCGGAAACGTGACGACTGCAGGCTTATTATGTTTTTTTTTCGCAGTGGATTTCAAAGAATTCGGTTTTGTAGTTCCTGAGTAAATCAATAAAATAAATTTACGCATTCATTAATTTTTTTGAGTCACCCTGTATATGCAAATCCAAAAAAAAATCAATGGAGTGATAAATCACAAGTACAGACTCATCATATTTTGTACAGTTTAGATAGGATTTAATCGGCAAACTTTCGAGCTGACGTCATCAATTTTTTGGAGGGGATAAGCAAATGTATTTTGACTAAACATTTATTATGCTCTTTATAACCTTAAAACATCTTCAAGATTTCAAAGCATTCGGTTTTGTAGTTCCTGAGTAAATCAGTAAAATAAATTTACGCTTTCATTAATTTTTTTGAATCACCCTGTATATGCAAATCCAAAAAATATGAATGGAGTGATAGATCACAAGTACAGACTGATCATATTTTGTACATTTTAGATAGGATTTATTCGGCAAATTTTCGAGCTGACGTCATCAAGTTTTTGGAGGGGATAAGCAAATATATTTTGACTAAACATTTATTATGCTCTTTATAACCTTAAAACATCTGCAAGATGTCAGAGCATTCCGTTTTGTAGTTCCTGATTAAATCAATAAAATATATTTACGCATTCATTAATTTTTTTGAGTCACTCTGTATATGCAAATCCAAAAAATATGAATGGAGTGATAAATGACAAGTACAGGCTCATCATATTTTGTACATTTTAGATATGATTTATTCGGCAAACTTTCGAGCTGACGTCATCAAGTTTTTGGAGGGGATAAGCAAATATATTTTGACTAAACATTTATTATGCTCTTTATGACCTTAAAACATCTGCAAGATTTCAGAGCATTCGGTTTTGTAGTTCCTGATTAAATCAATAAAATATATTCACGCATTCATTAATTTTTTTGAGTCACCCTGTATATGCAAATCCAAAAAATATGAATGGAGTGATAAATTGCAAGTACAGACTCATCATATTTTTACAGTTTAGATAGGATTTATTCGGCAAACTTTCGAGCTGACGTCATCAAGTTTTTGGAGGGGATAAGCAAATATATTTTGACTAAACATTTATTATGCTCTTTATGACCTTAAAACATCTGCAAGATTTCAGAGCATTCGGTTTTGTAGTTCCTGATTAAATCAATAAAATATATTTACGCATTTATTAATTTTTTTGAGTCACCCTGTATATGCAAATCCAAAAAATATGAATGGAGTGATAGATCACAAGTACAGACTCATCATATTTTGTACATTTTAGATATGATTTATTCCACAAACTTTTGAGCTGACGTCATCAAGTTTTTGGAGGGGATAAGCAAATATTTTTTGACTAAAGATTTATGATGCTCTTTATAGCCTTAAAACATCTGTAACATTTCAAAGCATTCTGGTTAGTAGATTAAAAATTAAATTTCAAAATGTTGTTTTATAATTTTGATTTTTTTTCCAAAAATCTGGACGTTTCGGGTGAAAAGTCGATTCAGAGTTGTAAACTACATGTGTAGGACTATGTTATTTTATACAATTGAAAACCCATTTACTATGTACAATTTTGAAGTGACGTCATCGCATTAGTGGTGGGGATGATTAGACAAATTTTGGTTAGCGTTTTACCATCAACATGATATTCTTAATATAAGTACAAAATTTCACAACAATCGGTCGAGTACTTTCGGAGATTATCTGTCTAATAAAATCCGGGACAACAGACGGACAGACGGACGGACAGACGGACGGACAGACGGACGGACAGACGGACAGACAGACGGAAATGGGAGACCTATTTCTTCGTCTTCTAGGGGTCATGAAAGATCGAGAAAACGTAAAAGTAGAGAGTCGGCCGACGGACTCGATTACAATACTTCCTTTGCTTACGCTCGGGAAGTAAAAAGCGTATAGGGAACGCGAAAAATCTAAAAAAAAATGAAAATAAGCAAGAAAGTTACGATATAAAGCAAAGATATCCTCTAAACTAGTGACAATATTTAAAAAGTTTATTGATTATTTTTTTAAATAATTAAAACAAATTCTCCCTTCAATTCCAAACATTTAAATATATATATATTTTGATAATTCTACCTATATTACGTAATTTATTATTTCCTAAAATACTGAATTTCCTAAATATTTTCCTGTACTTAAATAAAAACTAATCAGCAAAATTTAAGGGAAAAATCAAGAAAACCTACATAAAATTGAGCACGTTTTTTTTTTTGCAAATTGTGTCGATTCTACATTAATCGAAGGAACTTCGTTCCTACCTGGTGTCCCACGACACCACATTTTTTTTTATCAGTTCTTGTATCGTCGTCCCCATGTGTTTCAAATTGTAGAGCTCCGTGACACTGTTCTTGATTCCTTCAAGGGTCAAATCGCTGCTCGCAGTTTGTAACCCTTTTGGGTTTTCTTGTAGGGTTTTTTGAAGCTGTTCATGATAATTGAGCATTGACTCGAGTTTTGTGATGACTTGTTGATCAGCGAACTTTCCTAGACGCTTTTCACTGAAAACACTACGTTAGTTTAGGTCAAAATATGTGCAAGGATTTACTCTCTGATACGTTGCTTAATGTAGTCGCTGTAGGCGTCGTTGAAGGGGGTCAAGGCGTGTTCTTGCAGGAAATGCGAAAACTTGGCGATGCTTTCGGAGATGATTCCACCTTCTTTCTTCAGTTCCTTCATTCTCTGTTTGAGCTCTTTCATCAACTTCTCGATCCCGAGACGACTATCCTCCTTGGTCTTTATGGCATTTTTTACGTCCTGGTCTTCTTTCTGCACGTGGATTTTCTCGGTTATTTTGTAGAGGTGCATGTGGACTTTCCAGTGACATCCACACTCCTTGCACGTGCCATTGTCCAATATGGCGTCACAATTGATAATTGCCGGATCGCCGATCATCTCTTTGGGGATTCCCGAGTGGTAGCAAGGGTCGTGGCATCTCTGTTTGTAGTGCCACTGGGTCACGTCCTTCACCTTAAACATCAACAACGTGGAAAGGTCATCACACTCGTAATCTCACCTTGATGACGTCGGCGCACTTGGGGTCCGTGCACACGAGGACAGGCTGCGACAATTCCTTCACTTGAAGGTCGACACACGGTTTGAACAGCTGTTTCCTAAGGTCGTCGAGGGTTTGGTTCTCCAAACTCAGGTTCCTCTTGTGCCTCTCCAGCAACCTGGACATGTCTTGAATGAGCTCCGACACCTCAGCAATAATAGTCGCAAGTTGCTCAATCAGAAACCTCACCTCGTTAACACTGATGGTGTTTTCGACGTCGTGGGGCTTCAGTGCTGAGGTTCTGGCGTCCCCGATAATGTACACCAACAAGCTACAACAAAACTTTGACTGCTGCTAAAAGGAAAGTTGCCTATTTACCGTAGAATTTCCTTCGACGAGATGTCCCAGCTGTGAGCCAGACCTTCCAATTCGTACTTGCTGAAGGTTTTACCTTCTTGCATCTCCAAGAGTGCCTTGAAAGCCTCATTGTCCAAAGCGAAGATGTTTTTGTCGCTCAAGGGGATACTCACGTTAGGAGGTCTCGACTGGATATCGCGGACCAGCGGCTCCAAACAGTGAATCCTGGTCTCTCCAGTTGTATACCGAGCAATCTTACTGTACGTGGTGATGAATATGATGTTTTGGCTGGCGCTTTTGTCCAACCGAACCAAGATCTGCTTCAAACAGTACTCGACGAACTTGGTGAATCTCGTCTGGTTGGACTTCATGATGAAGCAAATAGCGTGGAGTTTCTTCAACGTCGCCAAGTACGCTAGAATATTGTCGAGGTTGATGTTATCCTGTTCCATGCCTCGGGGATCTCCGACTCCTGGAGTATCAATCAATTTTAAATTGAAAGTTTTCCCGCCTATTTTTATGGGGAATAGGTACACTTTGACGTGTTGGGTGGCGGATTTGCCGCTTTCGTGGGCTTCGTTTTCGTCCGCGGTTCCGCAGATTTTGGTTTTGTCCGAAAGGTTCAAGCAGACGGGGATAAGAACCTCGATTTTGCTGCATTGGGCTTCCTTGAAGTCGGAATAGTTGAAGTAGTTCGAGATGGAATTTATGAAAGTGGACTTTCCTACACCGGTTTCACCAAAAAGCAGGAGGTTTATGTCGCCCGGGGTAGCCTGGGGGTCTTTGAACCAGCTTAAGAAGCGGTTCAACATTTTGAAGGTGTCTGAGAAAGTGCTGGAAATAGTGGACACTTGTCACGAAAGTTCTACTTCATGGTATTATATACTAAGTAAGCTTACATATCAAACTTGGAAGTCACACATGGTCAGATCGTGTTTTTTTGAAGTTACTTTGTTAATTAATAATTTGTCTTTCTATTATCACAAAAAAGGCGAACATTTGAAAGTGTAGCGGAAATCCCAAATCTAGGCACCGATAAACTTTGTAAATGCGTGATGAAATGGATTTTATTTCAAAGTTACTGATTACCTTTGTTACCATGTATCTCTTTATTTTGTTATGTTAAGATATGTAATCCATGTATTTCGTTATTTTGTTATATATGTGCAATGACTTGTGTATATATTTGTTATATTCTGGCACGAATAAATGTTATCTTTTCAAGTAATTTTAAGAAATACCGATTACTATCAGTTTGTACATTTGAAGTGGTCCACAATATCGACTTTAGACTATCTAACATAATAAAAATAAATCGTAAAAAATGATTTAGAAACTATGCTAAAACAAGTTCAATTCCTTTAAAATGTATGTAAATTATAAAAATAAATTTCTCCTGTAAGTCAAATTAACTTCCCTCGTAGAACTATATATATTATTATAGCACTGCTCTCTACCAACTAAGCTAACGTGCGCTTGCTCAACATCTTGCATTTATTGTCATAAAATGTTGTTATGCAACCTTGATTTTTTTTTCGAAAATCTCGATAACTATAACATTTAAATTCCCCCACGTTTAAAATTTTATAAGCGGTAAAATAATGATCGTTGCCACAACTTTTTTACCAATGGAAAAAGAGGACTAACATGTTTCGGTACCTACTGGTATACCACCATCAGAGCCGCAAAACAAAGAAAGGTAACTGGATTATGCTGGAGTTGAAAAGTGTACTATTTCCATAGGCAGCGAAAAGTCGACAAATAACATCCCGCAAACAGATATCGTGAAAATCATCAATGAAAAATTCACGAAAGGACCTATTGAAACAAATCTTAAGCATATTTCCAAAATAAATAATCATACTCTTAAAAATTAAATATTACAAAGATTTACGCAGTTCTGACTTGCATATCATTTACCCTCAAATTATTTATTAAAATACTTGGGATAACCACATTTTAAGCAAACCGATTGGCGCTCTTTTGGCATCAAAACCATAAACCAAAAATCAAAAAAGAAATTATCTTTCTTACCTCTAAGTGCAGCGACGGTACAGATGTGTCTGGACCATAAACGAGAGAGTATTAATATTGCTATTATAGGTGGCGTACTTCGTCGATTAATTTAATTAATTTCAAAACTAATCGCCTGAAGCGACCTCTTGCGTTTGGCCGGAAAATTATTCACAAAACGCGCGAAATGCTTGACGTATTTAAATATTTCACGAATCCCTGTTTGCATCGCGCTTTTCAGCACTTGATTAAGGTTAAGTTTTACTTAATTTGATCGGAACCAAATCTGTTAAATTAAGCAAAATATAGCGTAAAACATAGCGTCAACCAAGTGATTGAAAGTGCAGTGCAAACGAGCATAAATTCACTGTTAATGGATACATTAAAACCATATTATTATTAAAAAATTTTATTGCAAACCAGACTTGGTCTAGACTTGGATTGAAACAGTACAACAAGTGGAATTTTTGACTCGGTGGGTCTAGGTTTACTTTTTTTTTTAACTTAAAAACTCAATACATCTTAGTTTGAAACTGATTCTTCCTTTTCAGGATGGTTCTACATTATTTCTGAATTTTTTTATGCGTTTCAAACTTATCACTTTTTTAGTCTTTTGGTTTGTGTGATTGACTGGATTTCGTCATCGGATTCCTAACGACCGTGATACTTAGTTTCGTCGCCTGATGCACTGCAATCAGATCTGGAGGACTCGGTGGAACCATCACCATATGAATCATAGTTGTCGTTAGATTTAGACCCTCTGTGGTTCCTAGACTGTTTAGCAGAATGCTCACCACCTGAACCATAATATTCACTATAATTTCTTCGGGACGATTTCCTGGAATCAGTGTCATTTGAATCATAGCTTTCACTGCCTGTGGTGTCAAACGATCTTGAAGAACGATCGCCATCTGAATCATGGGATTTATCTTCGTGTCCAGAAGAATCAGAGCTTTCGCTACTATGGCGTCTAGAGTGTGAATGTGAAGAGTTACTTGGAGCATGATCTGATTTAATAGAAGCATGATCATCTGAATCATCAGATTTAGACCGTCTTTGGTTTTTAGATCCTTTGCCGCTGCTTTTGCTGTCAAAAGATGTAGAAGAATGATCACTGCCTGAATCATAACTACTCTCACTTAGGGACGATTTTCTAAAATCACGGTCATCTGAATCATAGCTGTCGCTACTATGGCGATGATGTCTAGATGAGTATTTCACTTTAGAGTGTGGAGGTGAAGAGTTGTTTTTAGCACGATTTGATTTGACGCAGCCATCATCGTCTGAATCATGGGGTTCATAAGGTTTAGACCGTCTTTGGTTTTTAGATCCTTTGCTGCTGCTTTTGCTGTCAAGAGATGTAGAAGACTGATCACTCCCTGAATCATAACTTTCAATATCGGATTTATCTTCGTACCTAGAATGTTCAGTTTTGGCAGAATGATCACTCACGGACGATTTTCTAAAATCACGGTCATCTGAATCATAGCTGTCGCCACTATGGCGATGACGTCTGGATGAGTATTTCACTTTAGAGTGTGAAGGTGAAGAGTTATTTTTAGCACGATTTGATTTGACATCATCTGAATCATGGGCTTCATAAGATCTAGACCGGCTTTGGTTCTTAGGTTCTTTGGTGCTGCTTTTGCTGTCAAAAGATGCAGAAGAATGACCACTCCCTGAATCATAACTTTCAATATCGGATTTATTTTCGTAGCTAGAATGTCCACTTTTGACAGAATGATCACTCACGGACGATTTTCTAAAATCACGGTCATCTGAATCATAGCTGTCGCTGCTATAGCGATGACGTCTAGGTGAGTATTTCACTCTAGACCGTGAAGGTGAAGAGTTGTTTTTGGCACGATTTGATTTGACAGAACCATCCTCATCTGAATCATCGCCTTCAAATTTTTTGCTGTGACGAGATGTAGCAGAATGTCCACTTTTGACATCATAATCACTTGTGGACGAATTTCTAAAATCGCGGTGGTCGGAACCATAACTTTCGTTGCTATGAGAGTCACGTTTGAACGAATATTCCACTCTATATTGCATTCTATGTAAGTTTATGTCTTCTGGACTGGATTCTTTGTCAGAATCTTCATTTGTTTCTTGGTCACGTGTCTCCTGGTGGTGGGTTCCGTGGCCATTGAAAGGTGAAGTATTTGAAAAAATTTTGTGACCGAAATCGTAATCTCCAGGTTCGTCGATGTCGTACCCGCTTCTTTGACTGTAGTCCGTTTTTTCATATTCTTCTTCTTCAACGATTATCTTGTCCAAGTCGATTTCTGACGAAACAACGTAGCCGAAATCTTCCTGGCTTCCTTTGTAACGACAAATTTCAGATTTCAGTTCTTGTATCCTCTTCCCCATGTGTTTCAAATTGTACAGTTCCGTGATACCGTTCTTGATTCCTTGAGGAGTCAAATCGCTGCTTGTGGCTTCATTTTGGAACTCTTTCGCGCTTTCTTCCAGGATTTTTTGAACGTGATGTTGCTGACTGAGGAGTTTCTTGAGTTTCGCGACGACTTCACGCTTTTCACTGAAAAGATTGCGTTAGTTTCGGTCAAAGTGTATGCGATGGTTTACTTTTTGAGAAGTTGTTCAATGTAGTCGCTGTGGGCGTCACCGAAAGGTGTCAGTTCGTGTTCTTGAAGGAAGTACGAAATCTTGGCAATGATTCTAGAAATAGATGCACGCTCTCCTTCGAGTTGTGTCTGTTTCTCGACAAAACTGACGTTCTCTTGTATAAGTTCTGACACTTTATCAATGGAAGTTGCTAGTGGTTCTACGAGAAGTCTGATTTCGTCAAGACCGATGGTGGCTTCGACTTCGTGCGGTTCCAAAGCTGGAGTTTTCAAATCGCCGATAATGTATGTCAGCAACCTAAAAAACACGAAGTTTGACTAGAGAAAGTTGACAGTTGAGCATTTACCGTCGAATTTCTTTGGACGAGATGTTCCAACTTCGGGCAAAACTTTTTAATTCGTCTTGGTTGTAACTTTTTCCATCTTGGATGTCCAACAAGGCTGAAAATGCTTCATTGTCAAAAGCGAAGATGTTCTTATTGCTTAAAGGAATACACGTATGTGGAGGTTTTGATAGGATATCTCCATACAGTGGCACCAAATACTCTTCAGCTCTATTCTCACCCGTTTTACTATCAGTGGTAATAAAAACGATGTTCGGACTGGCACTCTTATCCAGTCGTGCCAACGTCTGCTTAACACAGTACTTCGTGAACCTCGTCTGATTCGACTTTAAAACAAAACAAATGGCGTGGACTTTTTTTAAAGTCGCTAGGTATGCCAAAATGTTATCCAGATTGATATTGTGCTGTTCTATTCCTCTGGGGTCTCCGATTGGGGGGGTGTCAATCAGTCTCAAGTAGAAGACTTTACCGTCCATTTTGACGGGGAGTAGGCACATTTTGACGCCGATTTCGTTGTCATCTTTCGTTGGTCCTAAACTCACAGGTATTAAAGTGTCGATTTTCCCTTTTTGCGCCGATTTAAAACTGGGATACTTGAAGTAGTTCGAAATTGAATTTATTAGAGTCGATTTTCCGACGCCCGTTTCTCCCAGTAGGAGGATGTTGACGTCGTCGGTTGCGGCAGCAGGTTTTTTGAATAGTTTCAAAAAGCTATCCCACATTTTGGAGTCGTCGGGAAAGGTTCGTCTATCAAAGGATCAAGAGATATTTTAAGAGAAAAATGACAGTAAATAACTATAACTTAATAGTTCAAATAAATTGCGAAGGATTTGCTTACCTGTCTCTTGACAACACTAGGAAAACGATTCTAGATTTTCTATTCGCTTGAGATACAGTTATCTGTTGAAAAAATCTTATAAATAAGCGTCGACGCAGAAAGCTTCTACAAGGGAGTGTTCCTCAAGGTTATCTTAATTCATTACGTTATCGTCTTATCGTATTCGTAGAAACAAGAAAAATAACTTTATCTAAAGTAGTATGATGCGATAGTCCGTCCTTCATCTCCTTGTTAAAAAAAAATCAATTTCCAATTATTAAAACTTATATTTAGGTAAACAGTGATTGAATATTTAATTTTTGAATATATTATCGAGAACTTCCTGGCAAAGTTGAAGCTTTTCAAGCTCTTTCCCGATCGTTGCTATCTCGTCCTCGTTTACTTCTATTTTTGCCTCCTTTTTCGCGTTTCTTTTGATACGTTCGTACACTTGTCGCACTTTGTCTAATATTTTTTTCTCTCTCTCGTTCTTGCCTTCTCTGAAATTGTTATCAAAGATGTGAAATAAAATCAGAATGGGTGACAAAAAACTCACTCAGACGATGCAGACGCGATTTTTGCTTCCAAATTGTCATCTAGGCCATATGTTTCTAAAAATGTAGCCAGTGCAGCAAATTTTTCTAAAACCTGATAAATTTTGTCTTGTTGGGTTTCAACTACTTTGCATGCGTTTGCGATGAATTTTTTCTGCTGTTTCAAGATTTTGGCGGTTTTTTCTAGGTTTGCTTTCATATCACCGTCGACAGAGTCTCTTGTTTGCGATTCCTGAAACGGTACAACTTTTTCATGGGTCGATTTATTTTTATATACTTTACTGTGATTTTGCTAAACTCAATCTGAGTATAAGTTATGGCGTTCTTTTCGTCCTGCTTTTTATAACTATTTGCAAAGTTAGTTATCTCGTATGACTCTCTAGACTGGACAAATGTTTTATTAAGCAGTTGACCAGTTATAGACAAAACCAGAAAAAATTAGATACTTACTTGTTTTTTTTGGGGATGGTGTTGTTTGTGATGAGAACTTGGTGCTGGAGGCTTCTGAATTACTTGTTTCATGTCATCAACCATCTGGAATGCTTGTTCCGAATCATCAAGGAGTTTTTTGCATTTATTTGTGTTTTCAAAGTTGGAGAGAGCTATATGCAATAAAGGAGGAGAATTTTTCTCAAGAAATGTTTGGATCGGTTCAACGGCACTATTAACCGGGAGTTGGAAAGGTGTTAATTTGCTAACATAAGCGACAAGTCTGAAAAAATTCAACAAATATTTTTTCTTTTCTTAATTTAAATAAAAATACCGCTTGCATGCTGCTAGTGATTTTTTCCAACTAAGTTCAGACTCTTTAGTTTCTTTGGAATTTAAAGGTACACCACACAAATGTGCCACCAAATGAACGAAAGCTTCATTGTCCACACAGAATAAGTTTTCGGTACCTATTGGAGTGTTAATTCCAGGTGTTGTTGATTTGATGGTATTCACAAATCTCATTAAAGCATATTGTGCAGAACTAGCACTAAAAGATACTTTTTTGCCTCTCGTAAAAATGAAAATAAAATTTTTATGGGCAGCTGCATCTAATTTTGCCACAATTTGTCTCATTAGGTCCTCGAACGATCGACTTATTTGTGTATCCGACGATCTTAAAAAAAAGCACACGGCGTGCAGCTCTCTCAGATGACAGGGCAGACTGAGGGTATTAAGTTCGGGTTGTCCATCTTTGGAAATTTCGAAACCTGGGGAATCTATAAGCCTTAACCGATGTCCATCTACCGGAACAAAGTATTCCTTTCTTCTTGTATTAGGTTTAAACTTAGACTTTGCATCAATATTTGCGTTTAAAGAAAGAGATACTTCTTTGAAATTTGTATCAACAACAGAAACTCTTTGTGGTGCTGCCACTATTGGAGTATTCTTGCTGAAAGTTTCTATGTTTTCATAATGGAAGTAGTTGATAAGTGAGTTGACGAAGGTCGTTTTTCCAACCCCATGCTCTCCAAGCAGCAACAGATTGATGTCCGTCATGTCCAACTGTTCTAAAATGCTAAGTTACAAAAAGTGTGGCATCAGGTTACAGAAAAAGTACATTGACTAATCAATCTTATATTCTTATCAATTGCGCAAAAAGTCGCTATAGATGTTCTATATGCGCTTTTTTAAAGACTTAAATATGTAAGCATAAACAAAATTTTGATTCTAAAATGGAACCTTAACCTGTAACTTTAGTTTAACATTTCGTTCAGTTTCAATAAATATTTAAAATAACTTAAAAGTATTTGTCTTACCTGCGTTTTTAGTGATAATACGAACAGAACTGGGTCTGTACGTTCTACACGTTTGCGATATGGTTATCAGTTTTGACACTTATCTATTTTAAATCTACACCGTGGAAAATCCTTAAATATAAAGATCGATGCGCAAAAGAGAAAATGTAGTGTACTAGTACTGGATAAGATAAGACTGACTTTGGCGAATCACATACCTTCTAAGAAAATAAGGGGCGGGTGGGCGGGGTTAGTATTAGCTAAGATCTTATTGTACAGAGTATTATAAATAAACTACGCACCCCCTCTTCATTATAATTGTTCAGTCTAATCACAGCAAGTGCTAGCCCTTTTCTTAGAGGGTATATCATTTGCCAAAATTAGTCTTTAGAGGATGTCTCATTTGCCAAAATCAGTCATATTTTAGCAGATACTAGCCCCGCTCACCCACCCTCTCTTTTCTTCTAAGGGGTATTATTTGTCAAAATTAGTCTCATCTTAGCAAGTACTAGCTCCACCCACCCGCCCTCTGTTTTCTTAAAGGGTATGTCATTTGGCAAACTCAGTTTTATCTTAGCAGGTACTAACCTCGCCCACCCGCCCTCTCTTTTCTTACAGGATGTTTCATTTTCCAAAATCAGTCATATCCTAGCAAATACTAGCCCCGCCCACCCACCCTCTCTTTTCTTAGGATGTATCTCATTTGCCAAAATCTGATTTATCTTAGTAGATACTAGCCCCGCCCACCCACCCTCTCTTTTCTAAGAGAATATCTCGTTTGCCAAAATCAGTCATATCTTAGCAGATACTAGCCCCGCCCACCCACCCTCTCTTTTCTTAGGATGTATCTCATTTGCCAAAATCTGATTTATCTTAATAGATACTAGACCCCCCCCCCACCCACCCTCTCTTTTCTAAGTGAATGTCTCATTTGCCAAAATCAGTCATATCTTAGCAGATACTAGTACCGCCCACCCACCCTTTCTTTTCTTCTAAGTGGTCTCATTTGTCAAAATTAGTCTTATCCTAGCAAGTACTAGCCCCGCCCACCCGCCCTCTGTTTTCTTAGAGGGTATGTCATTTGGCAAACTTAGTTTGATCTTAGTAGGTACTAGCCCCGCCCACCCGCCATCTCTTTTCTTAGAGGATGTCTCATTTGCCAAAATCAGTCATATCTTAGCAGATACTAGCCCCGGCCGCCCACCTTCTCTTTTCTTAGGATGTATCTCATTTGCCAAAATCTGATTTCTCTTAGAAGATACTAGCCCCGCCCACCCACCCTCTCTTTTCTTAGGATGTATGTCATTTGCCAAAATCTGATTTATCTTAGAAGAAACTAGCCCCGCCCACCCACCCTCTCTCTTCTTAGAAGGTATCTCATTTGCCAAAACCAGTTTTATCTTGGCAGGTACTAGCCCCGCCCACCCACCTTCTCTTTTCTTAGAGGGTATCTCATTTGCCAAAATCAGTCTGACCCTAGCAAGTACTAACCCTCTCTCCACACCCGCCCTCTATTTCCTTCAAAGGGATATCATTTGCCAAAATCAGTCTTATCTTAGCATAATACCTGCTAAGATAAGGCTGATTTTGGCAAATAACATCCTCTAAGAAAATTGAGGGCGTGTGGGAGGGGTTAGAACTTTCTAAAATAACACTAATTTTGGCAAATGATATACCATCTAAGAAAATAAAGTGGTGGGCGTGGCTAGTACCTGCTAAAATAAGACCGATAGTACCTGTTAAGACCGATTTTGACAGATGACAAAATGATTTATTCGCTAAGAAATAATATTAAATTAATTAAATAAGATACTAGAGGCTCCTAATCACTTTCTAATTCTTTCCAAACAGGAATACTTAGAATGTCAAAATTGTTTTAAATTTTTCAAAAAAAAAAACGTCCTAAAATTAATTCAAAAACGGGTCAGTTCAGAATTTTCCAAAAACTGAACACCAAAGTCGAAAATTGTTTTAAATAATTTACAAAAAAAATCTCCATGGGCCCCCAAAATACCATGGGTACTCAAGAGTCTCCCAAATAAAAAAATTAAATACTAAATGCCCAAAAGATTTTTTCAAGTTCACCAGCAACAAAAAATTTTTTTTACTATTTTTCCCAGACTCGCCATTTTCCAGACACCCGGTATGTCGTGTCCTTTTCTTTTAAAACTAAACATAAAAAATACTTAGACGTACACGTGGGAATCAAACACCTGGATGAAGAAAAAATTAATTGGTATGAATGTGAAAATTGCCCATACAAAGCTAAACTGGCGTCGCATTTAAGAAATCATGTAATTTTTCAAAATTTGAATGAAGAAAAAATTAAGTGGTACGAATGTGCGAACTATCCATATAGAAGTAAAGCAAAAACTATATATATTGTCTCCTTTTCACCTTTTTTTTTGAAGCGAATTTTTTTCATTTTTTTTTGTCACTTTTTTTTGTCCTAACTTTTGTATCCTCTTCTTCTATTGCTCTTTTGTGTAATTTTTTTCACGATTTTATTTTGGCAAATGATAGACCCTCTAAGAAAATAGGGGGTGATCAGAGTGAACAACTAGAATGAAGAGGAGGTGGGTGAGCGAGACTACTGATTGGTTATATTGTTATAATACTTTGTAGAATAAAGCTCCCACTTTTTAGTTGTTCAGTCTGATTTTAGCAAATACTAACTCCGCCCACCCGCCCCCTATTTTCTTGGAAGGTATGATATTCGCCAAAATCAGTCTTATCTTACCAAAAACTAACTCCGCCCACCCTGCCTTTATTTTCTTAGTCATTTGCCAAAATCAGTCGTCTCATCTAACAAAGTAGTGGCCCCGCCCATTCGTCAAAATTCATTCGCCAAAATTGGTCTTATCTCCACGCGCCATTTATTTTCTTAGAGGGTAACATCAGTTTTATCTTACCAAGTAGTAGCCCCGCCCACCTGCTCTCTATTTTCTTAGATGGTATATCATTTGGCAAAATCAGTCTTATCTTACCAAGAACTAGCCCCGCCCACCCGCCCTTTATTTTCTTAGAGGGTATTTTATTTGCCAAAATCAGTCTTGTTTAACAAAGTAGGAGCCCCGCCCACCCGCCCTCTAGTTCCTTAGAGGGTATATTATTTACAAAATCACTCTTATCTTAGCGAGTTCTACCCCGCCCACCCGCCTTTTATTTTTTTATATAGAAGAAACATTGCAAACGTTGCTCAATCAATTAGACGACGAAGCTTGGTTATTTCCATCAACATTTTTATAACAGAAAATTTCTGTGTACGATATCAAAATTGGCAGTTGTGTTTATCTTTAAATAAGTAAATATAAATTTATTGCACACATTTCTGTGACTAATTGAAACACAGAGATAAATTTGGAGCAAACACTACACCGTTATCAGATTAAGCGATAAGTTAAAATTGGTTTTATACCAAATTAAACAAGAGATTGTAAAGATAAGTAAAATACCTAAAATTTTTTTCTCAAGTAGCTGTTTAGCGATTGACAGCAGATAAATTTCCACTGAGTGATCAGGTTTTTGGGATAAACAACAAAACAAAAGTTGTTGAATTAAAACATGTTGAAGGTTAAAGGTTTATAATCATAATTTAATATCTCAACAATAGCAGCAGCTTAAAAATCACTCTTCCTTTTCTTGATCACTTGAACTGTTTTCTGAATCGTTTTTGTTAATTGTATGCGTCCCAGATGAACGAGAGCTAGCTCTGGAGTTTCTCCCGGAAGATCCTTCGTGGTCTTTAACGTCCTGGGGTGGCTTAGATTTCGTTTTTTTTTGGTTTTTGGAACTACTGTCGCTAGAAACTCTAGGCGGAAATTTATCGCCTGAATCATAATTCTCGTCAGCAGGTTTAGGGTTCTCACAGCTTTTAGACTCTGTCGCTTTAGTATTATGTTTTTTTCTGGGAGATTTAGCAGAATGTGGATCATCCGATTCGTCACGTTTATTAACAGAACGAGATTTTCCTTGACTTTTAGTTTTTGATGACTTGTTAGAACGATCACTAGATGGCTGAGAAGATTGTTCGTGCTTTTGCGATGAAACATTGATTGGTTCTTTTCCATCCGAATCAGAATTTTCGTCCTCAGATTTATGTTTCTGACGGCGTTTAGACTCTTCTTTCATGAAAGGCTTAGCAGTTTTAGATTCTGCGCTCTTTTTATGTCCACTTCCAGTAGAATTTTTCGATTTATCACTCCGATTGCGAGTTTCTTGGCCAGATTTCGGTACTTTGCCTCCATTTTTGGACGACTTGGCTTCCGAATCAGAGTTTTCGTTTTCAGATTTAGGCTGCTTCGAGCGTTTAGACTCTCTTTCTTTGCTACGATGTTTTTTTCTGGAAGATTTATTATGCTGTTGATCGTCGGATTCGTAACGTTGACCAACCGGACTAGATTTTCTTCCTTTTTTAGACTCCGTGTGTTTTTTATGTCCACTTCTGGACGACCTTTCAGAAGATTTGTCATCCGGATCGCGAGTCTCTTGGCGTCTGCTTTTGGAAGACTTGTCAGGACGATGATCAGAAGAATGGGAACTGTCTTGCGAGCTACTTCCGGAAGATTCTTCGTCTTCAGATTTAGGCTTCTTCTGGATTTTAGAAGCTTTTTCTTTGGAAGATTTAATATCAACAGGACTTGATTGTCTTCTAGACTCTGTCTGTTTCTTATGTCCGCTTTTGGATTTTGCAGCTGATTTATCTCGACTTTCGTGGCTAGATTTCGACGCACTGTGTTTAGTTTTGGAAGGCTTGGTGGAACGATTGCCATCTGAATCATAGTTCTTCTTAGATTTAGTATCTCTTTGGTTCTTAGATTGTTTATCAGTGTTTCTGCTCGAATAGTTCCCATCTGAATCGGAATTTTCACTATATGATTTATCTTCGTGTTTGGAATGTTTACTTTTCGTAGCATAAATCGGCTCATCTGGATCATGACTGTCGCTTCTATGGCGGTGACGTCTAGACGACTCTTTCACTTTATCATGTGTTTTGTGTTTTGACTTTGTTTCAGCTCTTGTTTTGTCGTACACTTCTCTATCTTTTGATCTCCGTGAAGACGTATTTTTGGAACGGTTCGTCTTTTTAGAATGATCATTATCTGAGTCATAGTGTTTAGATTTAGATCCTCTTTGATTCTTAGATTGTTTGACACTGTGTCTGCTGCCATATGATTCGGCAGAGTGACTACCGTCTGAATATGAACTTTCACTAGATCCATGTCTATGTTTGGCAGTGTGATCCCTTCTGGACGATCGTTGAGAATCGGACTCGTGGCTTCTGCTATGACCGCGGTGGTCATGTCTAGATGAATATTTATTGCTACGGTGTCCTCTATGTGATGATTTTTCAGCTTCTGGGTCATAGTAGTCTTCTGGACTTTTTGATCGACCAGAAGAATAGAGGTTTTCACGTCTAGATGGGGACGTTTCATATCTTCCTTTATAGCGTTGATGTGCTCTGGTGTTATGTTGTGCCATTGATTCTCTTCTACGGTCGTCTGAATCCCTAGAATGTTGGTTTCTAGGTCCGTGCCCCCTGGAAGTATCTTCGTAGATGTCTTCTCGTGAGTAGTCATCACGTTTCCGCGGATAAGGAGATGATCTCTCAGGCGTTCGTCTTGGATGTTGTCTAGCATTAGATGCATGATCAAATCTAGAAGTCTGCAACTTTTCTTCGGTAGCTCGATCTGTATAGACAGATCCGTAAGAAGTGTAATCATCGTAGTGATTGTCCCCGGTTGCTTCTGGACCATATTCGTTTTCAGACGACTTGTTCCAGCCTTGTTGCATGCCACTTACATCATAGTAGCTTTCGCTATATTCCATGCTTTCGTACTGTTCTTCGGCGATGTTCTTGTTCAAGTCGATTTCTTGCGAAACGAGGCAGCTGAAATTTTCCTGGTGTTCTTTGCGTCTACTATTGCTCGATTTATTTATCAGTTCTTGTATCTTCTTCCCCATGTGTTTCAAATTGTAGAGCTCCGTGACACTGTTCTTGATTCCTTCAAGCGTCAAATCGCTGCCCCCAGTTTGTAACCCTTTTGGGTTTTCTTGTAGGGTTTTTTGAAGCTGTTCATGATCTTTGAGCATTGACTCGAGTTTTGTGATGACTTGCTGATCAGCGAACTTTCCTAGATGCTTTTCACTGAAAACACTACGTTAGTTTAGGTCAAAATATATGCAAGGATTTACTCCGTGATACGTTGCTTAATGAAGGCGCTGTACAGGTCATTGAACGGAGTCAGTGCATGTTCTTGCAGGAAGTACGCAAACTTGGCGATGGTTTTCGAAATGGTTGACCCTTCGGCTTCTAGTTCTGTCCTCCGTTGGTTTACGTTGTTCAGAGTTTTCTCTATATGAACGCGAGCATCTTCTTTGCTCTTGATGGTGTTTTTCACGTTTTGGTCTTCTTTCTTAACTTCGACTTTCTGCGTTTCTTTGTAAATGTGCAAGTGCTTTTTCCAGGAGCAGTGACAATACATGCAGTTTCCGTCTGTCATAACACCGCAATCCTCGAGTTGCGGATCGCCGACCATCTCTTTAGGGACTCCTTTCAGGTAACAGGGTTTATGGCATTGTTGTTTATAGAGACGCAGCGTAACGTTATTGACCTTAAACAACAAAAAATTAGAAACTTTTATCAAAAGAAGACATCTCACCTTGACGATTTCTGTACATTTGGGTTCTGTGCAAACGGTTACAGGTTGGTTTAGTTCTTTCACTTCAAGATCTACGCAAGGTATGTACAGTTGATCTTTCAGTTGATCAAGAGTTTGATCCTCTTGTTGCAGACTTTTTTGATGCTTGTCGAGTACCCTGATGTTGTCTTGTATCAGTTCTGACACTTCAGCGATAGGAGTGGTGAGCTGTTCGATGAGAAACCTCACTTCGTTAATGCTGACGGTGTTTTCAACGTCGTGGGGTTTCAAAGCTGAATGTTTAGAATCTCCAATTATGTACTTCAACAATCTACAAAACAACAACTTTGTTTCTGGAAAAAAGGTAGTTGAATGGTTACCGTTGAATTTCCTTTGCGGACTTTATCCAGCTTTGCTCGAACCCTTTCATTGCGTGTCGGTGGTAATTAGTCCCCTCTTGGATCTCCAATAGGGCCTTGAATGCTTCGTTGTCCACAGCAAAGATGTTCTTATCGCTTAAAGGAATACTCACATGTGGAGGTCTTGATCGTATACTTCTAACCAGCGGCGCCAAACAGTGACTCTTGGTCTCTCCAGCTGTGTAACTAGACGTCTTACTATAAGTAGTAATAAAAATGATGTTCTGACTGGCACTCTTATCCAGTCGTGTCAATATCTGCTTAAGACAGTACTCCGCGAACTTGGTAAATCTCGTCTGGTTCGCCTTCAAAACGAAACAAATCCCGTGGAGTTCTTTCAGCGTAGCCAAGTACGCAAGAACGTTGTCCAGATTGATATTATCCTGTTCTATTCCTCTGGGATCTCCGACTCCCGGCGTATCGATCAATCTCAGGTTGATAGTTTTGTGGTCGAGTTTAATAGGGAAAAGATACACTTTGACGTTCTGGGTGACGGATTGGCCAGGTTCGTGGACTTCGTTGCCGTCTGGTTTGCCATAAACTTTGGTCTGTTCCGATACATTTAAACATACGGGGATTAAAAGCTCGACCTTCCCTTTCTGGGCTTTTGCGAAATTGGAATGGATGAAGTAGTTCGAAATGGAGTTTATCAAAGTCGACTTTCCGACTCCTGTTTCGCCTAACAGGAGGAGGTTCACATCGTCGGGTGTGGCCTGAGGGTCCATAATGAAACTACGGAAAAAACTCCACATTTTGGAGTTTGACCAACGGTTTGTCTGGAATCATAGAATGGTTTTTCACAGGTTGATTAAAAATTACAGTTACAAAATTTATTGCGAAGCTGATTAGATAAATGAAAAGATAAATAAATTCAGGCTTCTCTTTTTACAAATGGCGAAATAAAACTTAATCGTTCTTTGTGTAGAGGACTTAAATATGTAAGGATAAGCAACAGTTTTACTGAAAATACGACGCGGGTGTGTAATTTTTGAGTGAAACACGCCATTTAGTTGAAAATAGCTGCGATTCTGTTTATTGCAATGAATTAAAAAACAAGGAACTATTTGTCTTACCTGTGTCCTTAGTGATACTACAGAGCAGACTGCGATAATAAATCGATCTTCATGTTCTATACCTATGTCTGAGATATGGTTATCAGATTTGAACTCTGTATTGATTTTTAGTGTCCAACTTTCGAAAAAACTTAATAATAAGTGTGTGACAAAATTGGAATTTCCAATATCAACTTGATGACTGTTTGAAAGATATAAATGAGTTTGTTTTCAACCCTACATCGCTATCACATTATTTTATACTACGGAATTAAGGTAACGAAAAGGCTTAGTTGATGTCCTACGAAACATTGGTATTGGTTTAAGTATAAAGAAAATGAAGAGAGAAAGTTCTAAGGAAAAGTATTTTCTCAAGGTTTTTGAATTAATTATGTTATCTTATCATGCTTGGAGAAACCAGAAAAATACATTTTATCTAAAGTACCTATTACTTCTCAGAAATAGATGACGATAAAGTAAAATTCTTTCAATTGAAGAGGCACATCAAAAGTAAGCACGGAATCGTAATCCTGGCAAAATTCAAAAAATTGGTCTAAAGAGTTTAGACAGTACTTCCCCCACTATTATGTTTTTGTTCTCATCACATTTTTAAAAACTAAAGATAAAAAAACTGTATTCTCAAATTTTCGGGATAATGAATTAGGTCGACTCAAAATCATTCTTAATTTTAAGCGCCCAGAATTTTTTATTGCTTCGACTTCCGTTTATCATGTAAAACATTGGATTTTATTTTGATTTTTTTATTGTTTGTAACTTGTCTATACCGCATTCATGGAACCTAGTTAGCGCAACAAAACAAATGCACGTCTGTAATGTTAAAGTAAATATAAATAAGCGTGCTACGATTATGTTTCAAACGAGTTTTTACTTAACAAATTTTGTGTCTATCAAATTGGGTTGGTGCAATCTAATACTAATAATAACAGTGTTGTATCTCCAAATTTTCATCAGTTTTTTGGAGGCGACAAGTATATATATTTTGAATAAAAACTTATCACGCTTATCATAACTGTAAATCTGCAAGATTACAAAGCATTCGGTTTTGCATGTTTCAAATTAAATGTCAAAATGTTGTTTCCTAATTTTGATTTTTTTCCAAAAATCTGGACGTTTCGGGTAAAATCTCAATTCGGAGTCATAAACTACATGTGTAAGACTATGTTATTTGATACAATTTAAAACCCATTTACTATGTATAATTTTATAGTGACGTCATCACATTAGTGGTGGGGATGATTAGACAAATTTTGGTTAGCGTTGTACCATCTATATGATATACCTAATATAAATACAAAATTTGAGAACAATCGGCCCAGTACTTTCGGAAATTATCTGTCTCATAAAAATCAGGGACGGCAGACAGACGGACAGACGGACAAATTTGCATGTTTCTCTCATATTTGAAGCCTTATTTCAAAAACAAGCACGGAAAAAAATACGTTTAAGCTCAGTTATTATTTATTACTAATGCATTTTAAACTTCAGATCTAATCACGTAAAGTTTAAAAATCGCACTCGTTTTCACCAAATTCATCGATTTCCTGATCCTTTAGACTGAATTCTTCCGACTTCTAGACTTTCCTTTTTTGGAACTACGTCCTTTTCTAGATTGCGAATCATCCGATTCCTTACGTTCATCAACGAAACTAGATGTCCCGTGTTTCCTGTGACGGCTTTTGGAAGACGTAGTAGGACGATCATCCTCTGAATCGTAATTTATACTAGAAGATTTAGACCCTCTTCCGTTCCTAGATTGTCTAACCGTGTTTTTGCTAGAAGGACTCTCATCTGAACCGTAATTTTCACTTTCGCTTCTACGGCGATGAGTCCTAGATGAGTCTTTGTGTGATCTATGTTTCGACTTCTTTTCAATTCTTGTATCGTAGTCCTCTTCTGCATCTCCCGAACCACGAGAAGACTTATGTTTTGTACGACTGGACTTCTTATAGTCTCTTCGGTTCCTAGACATTTCAACGCTACCTCCGCTGTCAACCGATCTATCTGAAGGACAACTTTCAAAGTCGGATTTGTTTTCGTTCCTAGAACGGCTACTTTTGTCAACGTAGTTCTTTCTGGACGATTTTCCAGGAACAAGGTGATCGGAATAATAATCGCTTCTATGGTGACGATGCCTAGGCGAGTCTTCTACATTATGGTGTGTTCTATGCCTTGATTGTTTCTCAGGTCTATCTCTAGATCGACTGACGCTTCTTCTGCTGCTAAAAGATGTAATGGAATGACCACCATCTGAATCATAGCTTTCGCTACCGCGACGGTAACGTCTAGGTGAATTGTCCATTCTATGGTGGCTTCTGTGTGATTGACGAGGAGAAATATTTTCGGGATTTTCACGCACTTGGTGGTGTTGACGATAGTTGACATACCTACGTGAGTCATGTTGTGACATTGAGTTTATTCTTCGTAATGTTGCAGGCTCACGATCGAAATTTCTAGAGTGTTGGGTTGTAGGTCTGGTCCCACTGTATTCTATGTCATATCCTCGTGAATGGTCAAAACGATTCTGCGAAGATGATCGTCGTGCGTTTTGCATAGAATTAGGCTCTTGATGATTTTCGAAGCCTTTGGGATTTCTTGATGAATCACCAGAACGTCGAAAATTCGTGGTGGGTGTCGCCGATCGATCGTCTTCTAAATCGTCAGATTTGAAAGTGTATATTACCGAATAGGAAGGTACGTAAAGACTCTCATTTTCTTCTTCGGCGATTTTCTTGTCCAAGACGATTTCTTGCGCGACTTTGCAACTGAAATTCTTCTGCGTTTCCTTCTGACGACAAGTGCTTGATTTTTCTATGAGTTCTTGTATGGTCTTCCCCATGTGTTTCAAAGTGTAGAGCTCCGAGATACTATCTTTGATTCCTTGAAGCCTCAAATCGTTACTTGTTTCTCCCGCTTGGACATTTTTCGCACCATCTTGGAAAATTTTTTGCAGGTGTTGGTGCCGGGTGAGGAGTTTCTCGAGCTTGGTGACGACATCCTGATCGGCGAACTTTCCCAAATACCTCTCACTGAAAAGATGTGTTAGTTTTAGTCAAAGAGAATGCGATGGTTTACTTTTTGAGGAGCTGCTCGATGTAGTCGCTGTAGGCGTCATTGAAGGGCGTCAGCGCGTGTTCTTGCAAGAAGTACGAAAACTTGGCGACGATTTTCGAAATGGTTTCGCTTTCTGCTTCCAGTTCTGTCATGCGTGTGTTGATATCTTTCATTAGTTTTTGTATTTGAACGCGAGCATCTTGCTTGGTTTGGATTTGGTTTTTCACGTGTTGGTCTTCTTGCTGGGTTTGGACTTTCTCGGTTTCTTTGTAGATGTGCATGTGGAGTTTCCAGTGACAGCCGCACTGCTGGCACGTTTCTTGTCCCGCCATGGCGTCACACTTGATTAGTCCTGGATCTCCGATCATTTCTCTAGGAATCCCATTTAGTAAACAAGGGTTATGGCATCTTTGTTTGTAGTGCCACTGGGTGATTTGCTTGACCTTAAACAACAAGAAAGTAGAAATTTTTAACAAAGTGGACGTGTCACCTTCACGACGTCTGCACATTTAGCGTCCGTACAAACAGTCACAGGTTGAGTCAGATTTTTCACTTTTAGATCAACGCAGGGTATGTGCAGCTGCTTTTTCAGTTGTTCAAGAGTCTGGTCGTCTTCACTCAGACTTTTTTTGTGCCTGTCAAGTATTCTAATATTGTCTTGTAAAAGTGCTGACACTTCAGCAATAGGAGTCGTGAGTTGTTCTACGAGAAACCTGACTTCGTTGATACTGATTGTGTTTTCGACTTCGTGTGGGTTCAACGCCGCGTTCTCGATATCTCCAATAATGTACGCCAACAGACTACAAAACCAGAATTTGATAGAAGAAATTGACAGTTGCGTACTTACCGGTGAATTTCCTTCGACGAAACCTCCCAGCTGTAAACAAACCCGTCCAACTCATGTTTGCTGTATTTTTTCCCCTCCTGAATCGCCAACAAGGCCTTAAAAGCCTCGTTGTCCAAAGCAAAAATGTTGCTGTCGCTCAAAGGAATACTCACGTGTGGGGGTCTCGACTGTATATCGTTAACCAGTGGCATTAAACAATTCGTCTTAGTCTCTCCAGCTGTATAACCCGCCGCCTTACTATAAGTAGTAATAAAAATAATATTCCGACTGGCGCTCTTATCCAATCGTGTCAAAATCTGCTTCAGACAATACTCCACGAACTTAGTAAATCTCGTCTGATTCGACTTCAAAACAAAGCAAATCGCGTGGAGTTTCTTCAGCGTGGCCAAGTACGCCAGGATGTTGTCCAGATTGACGTTGTCCTGATCGGTTCCTCTGGGATCTCCAACCCCCGGCGTGTCAATCAAGCGCAACTTGAAAGTTTGGCTGCCGAGTTTGATCGGGAATAGGTAAAGCTTGACGTGCTGAGTGGCGGATTTGCCGTCTTCGAGGAGCTCGTTGTCGTCAACGTTCCCGAAAACTTTGCTGACGTCGGCCACGTTCAAACACATCGGGATTAAAATGTCGATGTTCCCTTTTTGGGCTTCTTTGAAGTCGGGGTAGTTCAAGTAGTTCGAAATGGAGTTGATCAGGGTGGATTTTCCGACCCCGGTTTCGCCCAAGAGGAGGAGGTTGATGTCGTCGGATGTGGCCTGAGAGTCTTTGAATAAATTTGCCAGGGAGCTGTACATTTTGGAGTTTTGGAGCGACCGAGGCTCTTCAGAAGATCAAGGTATTTGAACTTATTTTTGGGGGTGGTTCTACTATAATTAAATCGTTTGTAAAATTTGGTGAAAAACTAAAATAAAAAAGAAAATATTGGCATTACTGTTAGCGACTGATAAGATGAATCTAGACTGATAAGCGATAGTTAGAGTAGTCAGTTACAAAATGAAAAAAATTTGCACTAAAGTAAAACTAGATTCAAAAATAAATAACTGTATTTATGTTCTTGTAATGACGAAATTTTTGAATTCAGTATCAGTCTTCCAAAGAATTTCAAAAAAATTGAAAAACGTTTGCTTACCTGTGCTTTTAATGATAACACAAGTAAAACTGCGTTAATCAAAATGGTGAAAAACCGTTCTAGATGTTCTACATGCCTGCGATATGGTTATCAGTTTTTAATTCTTTATCAGTTGATTGCACTGTCAAAAAAAATACAAGAATGCTCGTTGCATAATGGATTAAATATTAGCAACCAGCTGTCAAAAACCAAAATTGCGTTTTCGGGCTGCAATTTGGCAACTGTGAAATAAAATATATTTTGGTGCAAAAAATTCGGGGGCTACTTGAGAGAGATAGACAATTATGGAGATAAACACTACACCTTTATCAAGTTGATCAACAATTCAGATAACTATAAATAAAATTTCATCCTTCCTTAATACTTATTAATTTCGAATATCGTAAAAACCCAATTTTATCGCATTATAGCAAAATGAGCTTAGTTGACGTCGTGCAAAATTAAGAGTACCACTTGTCTATAAAGAAAACAATGAAAACAAACTTTGTGTAAAAATGCTCTATCAATTCACGATGTTATCGTGTACTTTACGAACAAAGGCAAAATATCGATTTTATCTACCAAGAAATTTGTCTAAAGTTATTTGTTATGTTATCATGTACTTGTAGAAATAAGCCCAAAAATTGCTCTAAAGTTATGTATTAGCTTGAAGTACAGGTGAATAAATACAGACTCATTATATTCTGCACAATTTAAACAGGATTTATTCCGCAAAATTTTGAGATGACGTCATAAATTTTTTGGCGGGGACAGGTAAATAGTTATTTCATACTAAGTATTTAAAACCCACAAAGTTTATGTAGTGGAATTCGAAAATAGAGAAAAAAAATAAATGTAAAAAAAGCGATGATCTGACGAAAACGGAAAAAAAAATCATTTTAAAATAAAAGAAGAGACAACAAAAAAGGGAAAATTGTTAGAATGGGATATAAAAAGTCAACTGTAGATGGCAGAAATTTTGAATGGAATGAAGAAAAGGGCAGACTCAAGATGGTAGAAAATTTTTAGTAAAGAGTCAAAAGAAAAGAGAGAAAAGGAGGAAAAATGGAAGGAAACAAGGCAAAGGAAAAGGAATAAAGGATACAGATAGGGACATTGGAAAAAGGGAACTGGTACAAAATTAGGAGAAAAAGAGGTGAAGGTACCGTTTTGGAATGTCCAAGGGTTGCGAAAAAAGGATAAGGAGTTCTGGGACTACGTGGGAAAATTTGATGTGGTGGGACTAGTAGAGACATGGGTACAAAGAGAAAACTGGGAGAAATTTGAAGGGACACTACCACAAGAATACGTGTGGGAGTGTCAAAGGGTGACAAAGGAAAAGAAAAAGGGGAGAGCAAGCGGAGGAATAGTAATCGGAATTCGAAAAGAAATGTAAAAATTGGAAAAGGGAAGTAATAATAAAAACGGACTAATGAAGAAAGTAATACAGCTGGATAACAATCGATGAGAAATAATAACCATTTATAGCAAAAAAATTAAGAAAACCAAGATAAATATAGAAAAACAAACAAAAGAAAAAGGAGATAATAAAATACCTATAGGAGGGGAGCAAACAACAAAAAAGGAAAAATATTGTGGAAGATAATAGAAGAAGGAAGGAGATGAAGGAGAATGGACGTACGTAGGGGCTAGGGGAGAATCAATTATAGACTATGGGATTGTCAACGAAGAGGCGTGGGAAGAAATAGTGAGTTTCAAAGTGGGGGAAAGGGTAGAATGGGACCACATGCCACTAGAAATAAAAATCAAAGAAAAAGAGCAAAAGTACGAAAAACAAGAGAGAAGAAACCAAAGAAAAGAAACAGAAAAAGGGATATGGGGTGAAGAGGGAATTCAAAGGTACAGAAGTAGGCTAGAAAACAAGAAATTCGAAGTAAAAGAAGATATAGAAGCTATGATAGCAGAATATACATGTGGCAAGAAAGGAATAATGGATAGAACGAAGAATGTAGTGAGTTGAAGAGAAAAACAAGGGAAAAATTAAGAAAATGGAAGGATAACAGGGGAAGGAAAGAAGAGTACTTAAAAGCAAGAGGGAATTATAAGAGAAAATGTGAAGAAAGATAAAGAGAAAAACGAGGAGAAGAAGTGAAGATAATAAAGTCCCTGAAAACAGAAGAAGAAGTATGGAGATATATAAACAAGGAACGGAGAAGGAAGACAGAAGTCAGCAGGAAAATCAAAATACATGAATGGAAAAGACACTTTATGGAATTATTGGGAGGTTGTGAGGAAAAATGTTGCAAAATAAATTAAGGAATCACCACGACGGAAGACAGATTGAAAGACTGAAAGAGGAAAGGCACCAGGAAGGGATGGAATCCAGAACGAAGTGTGGATGTTAGGGACAGAAGGAGTGAAAGAAAGGACATCGGAAGTGGTAGATGGAGTTTGGAAGAGAAAAAGGTTTCCTCGGCAGTAGAGCTAAAAAAGTGATGTGGACAACTACCGAGGGATCACTGTGATGAAAAAAATCTGAATGTCTTAAGTTAAAAACTCAACACGGATTCATAAACCACAAGTGCAGGAATATCTTATTTTATAAAGTTTGGACATAGGTAGCCAAATTTTAGCAATAAAAAAACCGTCAAAGCTCAAGTGTATATTAAAATTTAAAACAAATCTACGTATCATTACAAAGCACATGTTAAGCTTACGATCTGAATAACTGACAGTTTAAAAATCATCCCTCGCTTTCAATCAGAATCTGTATAGCTTTCCTGATCAGTTAGACTCAGTTCTTCAGATGAATCAGAACTTGCACTGGAACTTGTCCGAAAATATTCTTCGCGCTCTTTTGGGTCCCGCCATGAAGTAGATTTTGATTCCCTTTGGTTTTTATATTTCCTGTCTCGAACTTCACAACTAGAAAATCTGGCCGAAAGTTCGACATCGGAATCATAACGGTCGTCATCAGAGTGAGGTTTCCTCTTAGGCTCTTTGTGACGTTTATCAATAGGGATAGATTTTTGTCGTAGTTTGGACTCGGCGTGTCCGCTTCTGGAAAATCTAGAAGAATTATCAACCGGAGCGCGAATTTTGTGGCCACGGCGACCAGTGTGACGATCATTCTCTAAATCGTAGTTTTTATTAGATTTGTCTCTTTGACGTTTACCCGACTTTTCTTGATGGTTAGAATGGTTACTTCGGGACGATTTTTTAGTATCCCGGTCATCTGAATCATAACTTTCGCTTCTGCGGCGGTGACGCCTAGGGGAATCTTTACTTTTATCGTGAGTTTTGAGTCTTGATTTTTTTTCACTTCTTTTATCGTAGTATTCTTCGACATGTCTTGGTCGACGATTTGACTTCGTATAACGATCGTCATCTGAATCAACGCGTTTATACGACTTAGTAGACTCTCTGGGGCTTTTAGATCGTTTAATGCTATTTCTTGTTTCAAACCGTCTAGCGGAATGACCACTATCTGAATCATGATTTTCAAAATCGTCCCTGGAATGTCTGCTTCTCTCAGTGTATTCTCTTCTAGACGAGTTTCTAAAATCGTCGCTTCTATGGGGTTGTCTTCTAGGCGAGTATTCCACTTTGTTGTGCTTGCTGGCTGATGTGTTGTAGTATTCTTCTGAAGAATTATTTTCGGGAAAGTGGTTTTTACGTCTGGTTGACGATCTTTCTTCTTTTTCTACGTGGCGTTGATGAGCATAATTGCGTCGGTCGTATTTTGCCACGGGAAAGTGGTTTTTACGTCTGGTTGACGATCTTTCTTCTTTTTCTACGTGGCGTTGTTGAGCATCATTGCGTCGGTCGTATTTTGCCATTGCTTCATTTCTGTGTGATTTTACAGGCTCGTAGTCATCTGAATCCCTAGAATATTGGGTTCGATATCTGAAATTGTCTCTTTGGGTGGAGGTATCTCGTGGTTGGTCGTAACGTCTGTCTGGAGATCTTCGTCTTGAGTGTTGTCTAGAATTAAATCCGTCATCATCTATGAAGGTTCTCGGCTTTGACGATTGTCTAGATGTGGAATGATCATAATTTGAAAAAAGTTCCATTGGTCTGTCGTCTTCTCGGTCGCTACCGTTATACTTGTATATTACTGCACTCTTAGGTTCGTACGAAACGTAGCTTTCTTTGCCCCAGTCTACGTCCACTTCATGTTCTTCTTCAGACGCTTTGGTCTGGCGTGGTTGTTCGTCGTCTTCGCTCTCTGTCAATTCACATCGTTCTCGTTCAGCTGCTGTCTTATCCAAATCGACTACTTCTCGCAACGTAACGCAACCGAAATTTTTTTGCGTTTCTTTGTTGCGACAAGCGTTGGATTTTTGTATCAGTTCTTGTATGGTTTTCCCCATGTGTTTCAATTTGTAGAGTTGCGCAATACTTTTCTGGATTCCTTTAAGGGATAAATCGCCGGGAGGTTGTCCTTGGGCATTCTTAGCGCTCTCGTGGAAGGTTGCTTGTAAATTATAGTATTGGTTGAGGAGGTTCTCGAGTTTCTCTATGACCTCTCGATCGGCGAACCTTCCTAGGTATTTTTCACTGAAAATAGTGCGTTAGTTTTGGTCAAAGTGCATCTGATCAATTACTTTTTGATAAGTTGCTCAATGTATTCACCGTAGGCGTCATTGAAGGGCGTCAGCGCGTGTTCCTGCAAGAACCACGAAAACTTGGCGACGATCCTCGAAATGGTTTCGCCCTCTTTTTCCAGTTCTCGCCTCCGCGTGTTTAAATCTTCGATTAGTTGATGCATATGGAATCGAGCGTCTTGTTTGTTTTTGATGACGCCTAACACGTTCTGGTCTTCTTTGCGGACTGAAACTTTGGTGGTTTCTTTGTAGATATGCATGTGGGCTTTCCAGGGGCATTCGCATCGTTGACAATTGGGTCTGCCTGCCATGGCCGTACAATACATCAGTTTGGGATCGCCGATCATTTCTTTAGGAACCCCGGTCAAGTAACAGGGATTGTGGCATCGTTGCTTGTAGTGCCACTGGGTCACGTTGTTGACCTTAAACAACAACAAAGTAGAAACTTTTACAACAGTCGAAGTTTTACCTTCACGATGTCTGCACATTTAGGGTCCGTGCAAACCGTTACCGGTTGAGTTAGTTCCTTGACTTCAAGATTAACGCAAGGTATGTGCATTTGCTGTTTGAGTTCTTCGAGAGTTTGGTCATCCTGTTGCATTTTTTTTTTATGAGCGTCGAGTACCCTGATGTTGTCTTGGATGAGTTCCGACACTTCCGCAATGGGAGTCGTGAGTTGTTCAATGTGAAACCGGACTTCGTTGATACTGATTGTGTTTTCGACGTCGTGGGGTTTCAAACCTGGACTAGACGTATCTCCAATAAGGTACCTCAATAATCTACAAAACAAGAATTTGGTTTGTGGAAAGAAGACATTGTTTAGTTACCGCTGAATTTCGTTCGACGACACCTGCCAGCTCGTCTCGAAACCTTTGACTTCGCGTTTGGTGTATCGTTTTCCATCTTGACTGGCCAACAAGGCTTTGAATGCTTCGTTGTCCAAACAGAAGACGTTGTTGTCGCTCAAAGGAATATTAGCATGTGGGGGTCTCGACATGATGTCTTTAACCAGTGGCGCCAAACAGTGACTCTTCGTCTCCCCAGCTGTATAACCCGCCGTTTTACTATAAGTCGTAATGAAAATGATGTTCTGACTGGCACTCTTGTCCAGGCGTGTTAATATCTGCTTAAGACAGTACTCCGCGAACTTGGTGAACCGCGTCTGATTGGACTTCAGAACGAAACAAATCCCGTGGAGTTTCTTCAGCGTGGCCAAGTACGCAAGGACGTTGTCCAGATTGATGTTATCTTGTTCCATTCCTCTGGGATCTCCCACTCCTGGTGTGTCGATCAGTCTCAGGTTGAAGGTCTTGTTGTCCATTTTAATCGGGAATATGTAGACTTTGACGTGCTGAGTTGCAGATTTGCCTTGGTCGTGGACTTCGTTCTCGTCTGCTGTGCCAAAAACTCTGCTGCTTTCGGCTACGTTTAAATACATGGGGATTAGTATGTCGATGTCCCGTTTTTGCGCTTCTTTGAAACTGGCATAATTGAAGTAGTTCGAAATGGCGTTGACCAGAGTTGACTTTCCGACTCCTGTTTCGCCCAAGAGGAGGAGATTAACGTCATTGTCTGCAGCGTCGGGGGATTTCAACCAATTCGTGACAAACTTGAACATTTTGGTAAGGGTTTCTCTGGAACGATTGAGATCTTTCAATAACAACCTTTAAAATAGTGGAACTGAATATTATCACTGAGATAAGATAATATTGGAAGTAGTCAGTTACAAATTTTACAAATTTATATACAAAGACAAACAGATAACTGAAAAGATAAGCTTTTCCATGAAATTTAATTTTCTGTCTTTCAAAATGGCGGAATAGCGGGTTTTAAGTGGACTATTATTTCATAAATAAATAAATAAATATACACCTAGTTTGACAACTGTTTTTCGTGTAAAGAATTGAGGTATTTGTTTATTAAGTTGATAATTTTTAGGTGAAACAATTTGTTCAGTTGAAGGAACATTTAATCAATTCAACGGTGTTATTTCACGCCCTGTATATACCTACGAATAAAAAAATTAAAGTCTTACCTGTGCCTCCAATGATAACACTATAAATCTACATTAATCAAGCCTGTGAACAAAGTTTCACATCGTTATATACTTGTGATATCGTTATCAGTTTTAAATTTTTTATCGTAAATTGTATTACAGGTACGTAGTTCTTGTCAACTTATATTGATAAAAATTGGCAACTGAATTTATTAAACGAATATTAGTGATTCTGTGCAGAATCAGAGTAAACGATAAATAAATGTATTTACCCCGAAAAGTTTCGCTTTATAATTAACACATTTACTCTTTATATAGTATATTAGCACAATATAATAATATAATCTTCCTAAGTTCTTTAATTTCTGAATACTTTAGACAGAAAAATGTATTAAGCACAAGTGGAACATCTAAGATTTGAAAGTTGAAAATCGGAAATTAGAAACTGAAAACTAGGAAATGAGAAACAGGAATTTGGAACATTGGAACTGGAGCTTACAATTGGATTACGAATTGAGAATTAAGAACAAATGGGAATTTGAAACCGGAGCTATGAAACTCGAAACTCGGAATTTGAACTCTTAACTCGGAGCTCGCTACTCGATACAGGAAACTTGAAACTGAAATTCGAAAATTGAAAATTCGAACCCGAGAACTTGAGACTCTGAGAATCAGAAATCTGAAACATAGTTGGGTCTTTTGAATCTTGGATTCTTGGAATCTGAGAATCTGAGAACACGAGAACCCGTGAACCTGAGAAACTGAGAAATTAAAAACCTGAGAATCTTAGAATCTGAAGTCTGAATTCTTGGACTGTTGGAAACTGCGAATCTGGGATTTTGGGAATTTGGGAATATGAGATCCTGAGAACTTGAGAACCTGAGAGACCGATAAACTGAGAACTTGAGAACCTGGAAATCGGATACTTGGATGCTTGGGTTTTATGGGAATCTTGAAATTTAGGAACCTGGGAATCTGAGAATCTGAAAATCTGGGACTCTGTGAGTCTGAGAACCTGATAATCTGAGAACTTGAAAACCTGAGAATCCTAGAATTTAAAGTTTGAATTTTGAATTGATGGATACTTGTACACTTGGATTCTTGGACTCCTGGATTTTTGGATCCTTGCAAACTGGGAATCTGAGAATTTGGGAATATGGGAACTTGAGAAACCGAGAAACCGAGAACTCGCGAACCTGGAAATCTTGGATTCTTGGATTATGGGAACATATGAATATGAAAATCTGGGAATCTGCGAATGTGAGAATCGGATAATATAAAAATCTGAAATGTGAAATCTTGGATTTTTGGATTCTTAGAATTTGGCAAGGTGGTAATCTGGGAATGTAAAAATCTGGGAAACTGAGAAGTTGACAACCTGAAAACCTAAGGACCTGAGGACCTGAGAACATGTGAATCTGACAACCTGAGAATCTGAAAATCTGGGAGTCTGTGAGTCTGAGAATCTGAGGGTTTGGAAGTTTGAGAATTTGTGAATTTGAGGATCTGAGAACTTGTGAAACTGAGACGAATCTTACAACCCGTGAATCTTAGAATCTAGAGCCTGAAATCTTGGATTGTTAGATTTTTGTATACTTGGATTTTCGGATTTTTGGAAACTGGGAATCTGGAAATATGAGAATCTGAGAACCTGAGGGACTGAGAAACCGCGAATTCAAGAACCTGTAAATCTTGGATACTTGGATTCTTGGATTATGGGAATCTAGCAATCTGGGAATCTGCGAATGTGGGAATCTGAGAATCTGGAAATCTGAAATGTGAAATCTGGGATTCTTGTAATCTGGGAATTTAAGAAGCTAAATTCTGAAATCTTGGATTCTTAAATTTTTAGATTCTTGAAATCTGGGAATCTGGAAATCTAGGAATTTGGGATCTAAAAATCTGGGAATCTGAGAAGTTGAGAACCTTAGAACTTAAAGACATGAAGATCTGAGAACATTTGGACGTAATTACCTGAGAATCTGGGGGTCTGTGAGCCTGAGAATTTGGGGGTTTGGAAGTCTGAGAATTTGGAAATTTGGTGATCGGAGAACCTGAGAAGCTGAGAAACTGACAAACTGAGAAGCTGAAAATCATAGAACACAATAACCTGAGAATCTTAGAATCTAATTTTGGATTGTTGAATTCTTGTATACTTGGATTCCTGGATTCTGAATCCTTGGATACTGGGAATCTGGGAATCTGGGAATATGAGAATCTGAGAACCTGAGAAACTGAGAACTCGAGAACCTGGGAATCTTGGATACTTGGATTCTTGAAGTTTTGAATTATGGGAATCTAGAAATCGGGGAATCTGGGAATCTGCAAATGTGCGAATCTTGGATTCTTGAATTCTTAGAATCTGATAATATGAAAATCTGAGAATCCAGAAATCCGGGATTTTGAGAATCTAAGGACCTAAGGATATGAGGAACTGAGAACATGTGAACCTAACGACTTCAGGATCTAAGAATCTAACAATCTGGGAGTATGTAAGTCTAAAAATTTGGAAATTTGGTGATCGGAAACATACGAATTTGTGAAACTGCGAAAATGAAAATCATAGAACATGATAACCTGAGAAACTTTGAATCTAAAGTCTCTGAAATTTTGGATTGTTGAAGTCCTTTATACTTGGATTTCTGGATTCTAGATTTTTGTATACTGGGAATCTGGTAATCTGGGAATCTGGGAATATGAGAATATGAGAATCTGAAATATGAAATCTTAGATTCTTGGATTCTTAGAATCTGATAATTTGAGAATCTGAGAATCTGTGAGTCTGAGAATTTGGGGATCTGAGTACCTAAGAAGCTGAGAAACTGGGAAGATAAGAATCTTAGAACCTGAAAATATGTGAACCTGAGCATCTGAACAGATGATAATCTATGCACCTGCAAATGTGAGAATGTGAGAACCTGAGAATTTGAGAACATGTGAACCTGAAAACCTCAAAATATGATGATGTGAGGACCTGAAAATCTGAGAATCTGGAAATCTAAAAAAAAAAAACAAAATTCGTAGACAACAGTGTTTATATATACCTATATACTTCAAATATTTAATACAATTTGGAAAAAGTAATATTTACATGGTCTGTGCAACAGTAGTAATGAATTTTTAAGTTTACGATCCAAGATCTCAATACGAAACGTTTTCAAAATCACTTCCACATCCGGTACCTTAATAGGATTCGGAATCACTCTCGCTGTTTTCTGAATTTTTTGCGTCAACTGTATGGGTCTCAGATGAAGAAGAACTATCAGACGAAGTGCTTGTAGAAGACACTTCGGACCTTTTCGCATTTTGCGATGAACCAGACGTCGATTCTTTCTGTTTTTCAGGCTTAGTATCCCACAGTTCATCGCTGCTACTAGAATCAGACATTTCCTCAGATTTAGGGTTCTTCCGACTTTCGAACTCTCTCTCTTTGATACCAAGCGCTTTTCTGGAGGGTTTAGTATCATACGGATCACATTCGTAAGATTTATCAACTGGACCAGATTTTCTTGGGGTTTTAGAATCTGTGATTTTGTTTCTGGAAGATTTTTTATTGCGAGTTTCGGCTTTGGATACATTGCGTCCAGTTTTGGAAGACTGGGTGGGACGGTCAACATCTGAATCATGGTTTTTATTAGCAGATTTAGATTTTTTTGGGTTCTTGGATTGCTTGACAGGGTTTTTTGTCGAATGGTCATCATTTGAGTGGTGTTTTGCAGAACTCGATTTATCTTTACTTTTAGTAGTATGACCCTTTCGAGACGATTTTCTGTGGTCATGATCGTCTGAATCATAGCTTTCGCTTCTATAGCGACGCTGCCTAGATGAGTTTTCCAACTTTCTGTCTGTTTTGTTTCTCGATTTTGTCCCAGTTGTTGTGTCGTCGTATTCTACATCTCTTGCTTGACGAGAGGAGTTATTTTTGGCACGATTTGTCTTCTTAGGACGATCATCATCTGAATCATTGATTTTGTAAGATTTAGATCCTGTTTGCTTACATGATTCGACACTGTTTTCGCTCTCAAGTGATCCATCGGATTGATTATCATGTGAATCATCACTTTCGGTATCAGATTTAACGTCAACCTTTCTGGATGATTGTCTTAAATCTCGGTCATCGGAATCATAGTCGCTATCACGGCGACGGCGTCTAGGTGACGGGTCCACTTTATGGTGTTAGCTATGTGATGTTTTCTCAGATTTTCTATGGTGGTCTTCTAACTACACTACGTGATCACGAGAAGGATTGCTTTTGGGAAGATTCTTATCGCGTTTGGATGAAGATGCTTTTGCGCCAGACTCACTTCTACGCTGTTTTACAGCACCATGACCATCTGCATCCCTAGAATGTTGGTGCAAATGTCTGCGTCCGACATCTTCTTCGTACGTGTATTCCCTCCATCTCTCCGGAGATATTCGTCTTGAGTGATGATTGTTTCTGGAGGTTCTCGACTCTCTGGGTCTAGGTTAGTCGTAATCGCTACCGCTGGTTCTGTTTAGGTCATAGTCATCTCTGCTGTATTCCACTTTTTGGTGTTGTTCTTCTTCGACGGTTTCCTTGTCCAAGTTGATTTTTTGCCCGGTTTCTTTGTTGCGACAACTGACCGATTTGTGTATCAGTTCTTGTATGGTTGGTCC